ATTGAAACTTTATGAAATTTTTAGGATGAATAGTCAGATATATTTAGCATATTCTGCACGAATTTTAGATTTCTAAACCTATTTTTGACGACACAGCTATTAAACTCCCTAGTGATCGGGTTCATATAAGATTTGCTCTAACTGCAAATAAAGATGTACAATTTTTGTTTAAATAAGAATAGTTCGCAGTATTTGAGAGCAAGGGACACGTTGACTAAATCAAAAATCCTGGGGAAGATTTGTATTCAGTTTACGCAAAGGCACATGGGGGCCTGCAGAAAGTGCGTGGTTATAGTTTAAGCAGGGTGCATCGGTATCACGCTCAAGATTCTTGTGCACTCAAACTCCGCCCTGGCTCAGTTTATCTATACAGGGCGTCCCAATTTTTGCTTCTAAACTTCTTCCACATGTAAATAGCACAAAATTGAGCTAAAAAAGTTGAAATTCAAAATTTAAGGGTTTGGTGACCTTAAAAATGTATTTCTATTAAATTTTTATCGCCATGACCTTTTTTCGACGCCACATGACCTGAGTGGCTAAAATTGCACGATCGACTTAAAATTCAAAATTTTATGGAAATAAATTTTTAAGGTCATAAAACAATTAAAATCTGAATTTCAAGTCGATCGCGCAATTTTATGCTGTTTACATGTGGAAACAGTTTAGCAGCAAAAATTGGGACGCCCTATACAGATAAACTGAGCCAGGGCGGAGTTTGAGTGCACAAGAATCTTCAGCATGATCGGTATTCATGTAGAGGAATCCACTCAAACTACACTGGAAAATATGTAGACTTTTAAGTTACAAATATTGTAAGGATTTGGATAACAATTTACAATGCAATGTTGCATGAGTATGGGTGAAATTTTAAAATCATTCTATTTGTAGGTGACGTGTTTGATGGAGTACCATCATCGTGGTGCTAAACCCTGCCCGTCGGTGGTGGCTGCTGGAAAGGCAGGGACGAGTATTTCGTAAGGGGACACCGCTAGGCTCACCCATGGAACGGAACGGGACGCGAGACGGGACTCCCGACGGGACAAGATTTTTCGTCCCGAACAAGGTCACGAACTTAAATGTTTGTGTCAATACTCACTCCCATTATTGGCAAACCTAACAATATTTTATGGAAATCTTTCGCAGGCGTTAACCGTATAGTTTTAATTTTGTATTTTAGGCATATGCATATAGTTATGTATGTGTGATATTTTACTGAGGATGAGTTTTGTTGTTGGTTGTCTTAATATTTCTTAATAATTCATATTTACATATGTACATACTACCCCATTGTAGTCAAATATGTAAAAATTATTTTCATAATAAGAAACTAAAAACTTTGGTTTTAAAATTAAGGAAACAATAGTTCTGACCTTAGATATGCAGGTTAAACGTATGTACATAGGTCGAAATTATGGGGGTTTCTCAACTTTCCACACTTAATACTCAAAACTAAAATTTTGAAATTACTGAGCCGTTGGTGGGAGTGATAACTCATATTGTGCTCATTTATGTATTAAGAAAATAGAGCAGTAATCAATACTCACGGTTAAGCTTGTTCAAATTGATTACGAACTGAATTCCAATTTAAATAAAAAAAATTGGGGAAATCCCGTCCCGTCCCGTCGGGACAAGTCTCGGGACGGGATGGCCTCCATCCGGAAAGTCTCATCCCGGTCAATCTTCGGGACGGGACGGGATAGCGAAATCCCGCACTGTCCCGTCCCGTTGGAAAGCATAGATCGAGGTGAGCCGGATATCCAATTTTTTTTAAAATCCATTGCCCGATCCAACTGGATTGGATCTGAAATTTTTTTGGGTGAAATGGATTTGGACGGATTGGGTCTAAATTGTTCGGGCCAAATGGATTTGACTGAATGCATTGGCTTTAAAATTGTTCTGGCTAAATGGATTTGGACAAATCGGATCTAAATTTTTTGCGTGAATCGGATTTGGATGGATCGGATCCCAAAAAAATGACGATCCAGCCCACCTTTTGTTGGAGATCGGACAACAATATGCAGACGGCAGTGTCTTCTTTCCTTTTGAACGAGTACGCCAGTGCTGAGTTTTGTGAATGTTTTCGGCCGCATGTGAGCACAGAATTATTTATTTCTGTCTCTATACATATACGTAAATAGCCCATGCTTAATTAAAAAAAACTTTTTCTTATTATTACTAAACGTGAAACATTTAACAAAAGATTGCTTTACAAGTAAAGAATCAGCACAATGAATTAACTCCCAGGGTCACGCCCATACCCTCTAGCACGTTGGAGGTGTGGTCGGGGGCAAAATGAGATTTCTACTTGAATCAAATCAATGGATGAAGTACACAGTACTAGTGTCCAAATAATACTTTTACTAACTGTACATCCCAATGTGCCTCCGCATTCGATACGAATTCGTTCTAAAGTCGTCGCCCAAATTCGGAACGCACTTCGGATTTGTCGCCCTAGTTGTGCCTGGTACGAATTCGAAATCCGAATTCGAATCGCCTGCGTAGGCTCGAACTCGGAACGAATTCGAAATGCTAATTCTGATCGTCATCGTGGCTTCGAACTCAGTACGAATTCGGGAGCCGACTCCATTCCGATGCTCTTCGGATTAGTGAATTATATATCTTAAAATATGCTTTATGATGATGCTTTTTAATAAAATATAAAGTCAGTGCACACGTTAATGAATATTTTTATTTTTATTGAATGTAACAATGGAACTAACAAGAACTCGCTGTTATAAGGTAATCTAATATATTTAAACAAGAAATCTTCTGGTTCAAGTACCATATTAACCGGTTCTGATAAACCGGATGAAAAGTAAATTTTTAAATTAGAACTATCGAAGGGATAATATTGGACAGAGTGTAGATTTAAAATCTGTTGACATGTATATTCGACAGAATCATTCTTTCTATAAGTATAATTTTGTAAAATTACAATTCCACCAGACCTAAGCATGAAGCAGTTATTTCCATTCTTACAGCTAGATTTAGGGGAGAATTTTTTATTTTACGAGTTAAGAATGTAAGATGTAGCGGCACTAAAAGTGAAATGCTCCCTTACTATACACAAGATCCAAAAATACACCAACAAGGCCAAATTCAGACTTCTTTCCTTTCCCACTGTGACTGCAGGTCTGTGCTAATTCTGTGGAAATTAGGCCAGATAACAGTCTCGCGATGATATTGTCTAAATCTCGTCCCCCAACATAACCAAGTTGAATACTCTGAAAGTAATGACACTTATGTAAGTAATAAAATTAGGATTGTATTCATAAATTGCCTATGATTCACCTACCAATTCTTCAATGTTCGACTGATCCCGCTTAAGCCAGTCACTCAATTTGTAAAAATCCTCTTTATTACAAACCGGTAGTTTTGGATGATCCAGCAGGGCAGAAGGTACACGTGGAGCAAGTGTTGAAGTTCGACGAAGCAACTCGACCAATGTTTCGTTAATTTTTACTAACTCCTTCACCACCACTGCCTGTAAGTCTACGGACACAGACGGCATAGATTGTACTCATTATTCAATGACACTGTTTAGGAAAAATTAGTACAAACGAGTAGTAGAAATAATTACTTACTTTGAGATTCAGTCTTCAGATCTCGAACCAGTGTCAAAAGTTCTGCAACAGTTTCTGGATTCGTAATCTCAACATAGGAGAATGTCGTTTCGTTATTGCCTGATTGATCAAACAAATTCTCCTCCGCCTGGGAAGAATTATGAGATTGTGGGAGGGCCGACAAAGGCTGAACTTGAGAATTTGTGCTGAGACTAATGCTTGGTGCTGGAACATTACCACAATGTTATTATATAAATTTATCCCAATTTAATGTGTACTGAAACAGAATAAAAATTGCTCACTGGTCGGGATAAATGATGTGACCGGTAATGTTTCACATTCTTCAGACGACAAGCTGCTCTCGTCAGAACTGGTCGACTCGGAATATTTTGTAGAGGGAGTAGATTTAGCTGCGGATTGCCCTTTTCGCGTATTTCTCTGTTTTTTATGAGTTGTTTCCTCAAATTCTGATGGAGGTATCTTGTCGGTAGATTTAGCCGCAATACATCCTTTCCTTGCTGACTTAAGAGAATCTGCGAACCGACAAATGTTTAAATAATTGAAATTATATCTCTAAAGGTTAATATAAAAGTATTGAATCCCCAAATCTGCTCACAAAGCCAAATGCATGGTTATTGTATTATTGTGTAATTTATAATTTTTTTGTCATTACAATTTATATTCGATATTAAATTGTTATCAAATTACTTACTATAAGACATGAGCCACTGACAAGGGAATTTTGGCGCATCTAAATCTGCTGGAAGATTCTTACGCAATTTGTCCCCTGCGTTTGGCCCAATTGGCCACGAACAGATGGATTTGTCTTCATTTAACCACGATGAGCACACGGCCGCAACTGTATTTTCGTCATGGAAATTGACAACGGAGTACTTTTTAATTTCGCTGTTCATTATAAAATTAAATTTATCGACAAAAAATAAGACTACAGCCAAGGGAAGAATGGAGGAAGAATCAAAGTGATATGCCACTAATGCACGTGTTCTCTTCTCTCCTGGGGAGGATGATACAGAGTCGGATCGGATTCAGCGACGAGGATTCTGATGTAAAGCGTGCAGCCGAATTCGTTCCGGCTTCTCATGTCCGATGCCAAAACGCATATGAATATCTCGAATCGATTCAGAATCTGAAAGGAAACCCTTAAGCGAATTCGATATGAATGCGATACTACGCATTTAATCCTAATTCTGTTTTATGTCGTTACTAAGTCGGCGAATTCTGCTCCCCAAATCAGCATTTGGCCCGAATTCGTTATTAAGAGTCGTATCAACTTCGGGATTTCGAATTAAATTAGAATTCTGATGTTGGATCGGAATGAAGTCGGCGAATTCTCACGAACTAAATACGACGAATCCGACCTGAAACAGAATTCGTGGCGAATGCGGAGGCACATTGGGATATGTATGCATGTATGGATAGGTATACATTTTCCATGATTTATTAAACAAGTACCGTGGAACGTACATATGCACATAAACACATATTTACGAAACCTTTAAAGGGTAATACCCTTAGGGTATGCATGCTTCGATGTAAAATTTTATGTTGCTGTTAACTTATTTACATAAATATGTGATTCTTGTCCACATACTAATAGGAAATCGATCAATCAATTTTAGAGAAATTAAATTTATACTCATTAAAAGATCCCATGCACGGGGGACCTTTGCATAATTGAAGCGTTCGTTTGCTCAGGTTAAAGATTATAGACGCCACGGTGGTCTCCGTTGGGTGTGACGACGTCCAAGCCAGTTCTTTCGGTACGGAATGTTCGCAAACCGAGTTTGGATAACCGACATGGTCCTTGAAAGCGGTTTTAAAGTCGTCCTCATCAATGTTGGGCCACGATTGGGTTAATACTTTTTCAACCCTGCGATTATATATGTATGCACATTCGTTTGAATTTTATAATTGAACCTTTTCTTTACAAGGAATGCATTTGAAATGAAAAATGTGCAGCTTCCAATTTCCGGAAGTCGTAATCAGAATCCCTTCGCGGAAAGCGGCGATTTTTAGTGGGAAGCGGAAATTTTTGTCGGAAGCTGCCCACCTATGCTGGCAAGCCTACCTACCTGCGATCCCTAAAGAGAGACGAACTTCCTCTCGAGCCTTCCGAAATGCTGTCTTTGCACAGGAATCCGGGGTCTTTGAAGTGATTGCTGTGCGTCAAGATTTCCTTGGCAAGGGGTACTTGAGTAATGAAATATGATGTCGGTGTCAATTCAATATTTAGCGCTTCGTCCTCTCCCGTGGCTACGATAACATTCATAGCGACATGACGGGGCGTTGTGAGAAGCGCTCTGAGGCCCAAGGGGAAAGTGGGGGCTTCGAGGAACATTCGACGAAGGAGGGAAGCCGGGACCCAGCCGGAGGGATATTTTGCAGGATCGCGTTCGTAAACTTCGTCACTGCTCCACAAACTCATGGCTATTATACCCAACCCAGCTAAATGTGTAAAAACGAAACCCATAAAAATAATGAGTTGCCACGCCATACATCCTTAGTTATGTAAGATGGGGACGCAAACCATATTCAACCTATAGATTATTTTGTCATCATGGTAGTTTGAAAGAACAACTCTTTAGAAACAACATTTAGTGCGGGATTTGCGAAAAATTCAGCAACTACAAAATGGACGCCGCACGAAGGTGCTCGGCTTTCATGCGTAATCTGTGCCGAAATTGCATGTTTTCGCAAACTTATGGAGCCGAATTTTTAGCATATGTGCAACTACTGCGGTAAACATTGCTGCTGAATAGTTGCTCTTGAAACTAACATGCTCACAAAATAATCATGGTTTGCCCCACTATTGTTAATAATAATAATTATATGAAGCACGACAAATTCCACTAAAACTCCATTAACTCACCCCCATTCATCCCGGAACGAACCAGTTGTCCAACCTCGGTCAGAGTAACGAATGGTTTGATATTTTCACACGGATCAGGATGGACTTCGAGCAGGATGGCTGTGTCATTTTTTAAAATAAATTCTGACGTGTCCCAATTCTGGCCGAGGAGTACGTTCGAATTTCTAGTTCCGCTTTTCAGAACGACCGCTCCCGTACACTCTTCTCCCTCCTGTTGATCCTGAAATTGGACATCGGTTAGAGATGGGTCGGATTATGGATCAACCCGCTTAAAACCGGCCGGCTCGAGTTGAGACATTGATTGGGGTTCAAGCCTGGTCGGGTTCAAAAATTGATTGGGTCGGGTTCAGAAAGTTCTCGATATGTATATGTAGATACATATTTATCGTTGACTCAGAAAGAGGAAACCCAATAAAAAATAGATGAGTCATGCTTGCTAAAAAGGATGTACCAAAGTTAATAAATGGTCAACGAAAGAATGAAGACAAGGATTGCTATGTAAAAATGTGTTTGTATTTATGTACCTACATCCTAAATTACTTAGGTTAAATTCCTCACATACTCTCCATTCGTGCACAGTTGAACTTTTACAGGAATTAAAATTTTGAGAAACAATCGGTACGGCCAGTTTGATGGAATTTGAGACTGACAGTGCCATAGTTTCTCAAAATTCTCAAATTTCTGTAAAATTTCAACTGTGTGCGGATATAGAGTAGAACTTTGACCATTACTTCAGCATAAATAGATACATGCATCATATGTACCTTCTAGCCAATAAAAAATATACGGCAACCAGAAAGTAACCACATCCTACACGAGCCAATTAATATTTTAATTAAGTTGAGTAAGCTTTATAAAAGTGTGTCATTCTGATATGTAACTTCGTCAGAGAGATAAGCCAATCATGCACAAATAATATAATGGATACTTGGTAAAAAGGATCAACTCATGTTTCTGGAATTTTCAACGACTAAATCTATGTTTGTACCCGATAAAAAAATATTTGTTCAATATGTATGCCTGGTTGAGCAGGAAAGAAGAAAACCAGTAAAAATGAGATAACGCATACCTCAAAGTTTCTTGAACCGAATAAATACGGAGAAACATTCCACCATTTCTCAGTATTAAAGTTACATACTTAACAGAATAAAAAAATGAATAGTTTTATTTACAATTTTAAGTTGTGGTTTCTTTATAAATCAATTTTATTAAATGCTGTGAATTAAAATTCATCATTTTATGTAATGTGCACATGTAGACCACGTGCGTTGTGAATATTTACTTGAAATTTTACATTTTCATACTTTTCGAGATGCATTATTTAAGGAAAAAGTTTATTATTTTGTGTCTATTCTTTCTCTTCAAATTAATAATATCTCAAGAAACTGATTCCTGTAATTGCTCAAGAAACCTTCATACTGCCCAAATAAAGTGCCTAGTTGAATCGACAAATATTAACAGCCCAAGCTGTACCGTTACATTTGGCCAAGCGGATGATGTCATCAGTCAGGCACATACGAGATGCATTGAGAAAAATGTGTTTGCCACGGAAGGAGATCATCCTGGTAGAGAGACTGAAGCAATAATTAAAATTTCCGGCGTGTCACCTTCGGTTAGCCCGAATCAGGATAGGTTTCGTTTGATTATCGATAAATGCTACCGGATTCGTGTCACATTTTTATTAATTTACTAAATTTATATAAAAAAAAACTTAGTGGGATGACATATTCCTCGTTTTTAAATTGGTTTGGATTAAAATTGTGGAATGATGCAGTTGCTAGTATATAATTTTCGGGAAAACAATCGGATTATTAATCTGATACATATGTACATACATAATCTCAATCAGGCCTGATTCGGGTTAATTAAGTAACTTCGCCAAGTTAACTATTAACGTTGAGTTGCATAAAAATTCCAGGTCAACTGAGAAAAATAGTGGTATTTTGCACGGCTCCTTATCCATTGAGATTGTCATTTGATGGGATGATGGTACGTAAAGAGCAGACCGAGTGAATGAATTTCCTTCATTCAAATGAATGATGAATGAATGATTTTTAGTATGATTTCTAAAGATTTTCTAATTTTAACTCCCTGTTGATCAGCCTCATCAGTCAATTGGGATTGCAAATTATCGCTATGCTAACCCGGAGTTTGAGAATCAAACGCTTTCGAAATTCATTGTGAGCATGGATGTGGAGCCAGAAATTACTGGAAGATATTCAATATTTCCACAAAATGGATTTTCTGACAGAATGGGTGGAACTGTCGATTTTTATATTTTTGCTGAAAATGGTATTATTCGATAAACACTTGCAGACTTGATCTCATCAATTCATACAGATTAGGACTGTCAATTCCGAATTCCGTTTTTTATAAATTAACATGCACATAAATCCGGATTCTAAAAATTTCGGACTTAAATATTAGAGCGCTTACCTTCTGATTAATCTATTTCCGAAAAACGGGGGGAAAAAATGCAGGAAAATTTATACAATTGGTAGTAAAGGGAAACGAAAATTTCCGGAAAGTTGTGAAATAAAATTTGCGAAAGGTTCAGAAATTTTCCTAGAAAAAGTGCCTACACATTTTCACAAATCGAACCCACGTATTAACGTTACTAACGGACTTCGGATTTGACATCCCTACAACATTTAGTTACCTGTTATGCAAATGTTTCTTTAGGACGTTTCGGACCATATCTTCTCAATGAGGGGAAAATATTAAGACCAATTTTCACCTCAAATGCCTTAATTCTACCATGCAGGCCGTTTAAGAGAACAACCAACATTCTGGTAACAAAGGTAAGTCTCATATTAAACTTAACTCAGATTGAAACCAATTTTAACATGTATTCCTGCTAGAATAACGCTGCTTTCACGGATTACGATCAGTTTGATACCAAATTGGGATTTGTAATTAATCTTACCGCAAATAGACCTATTTCTTCGCTAATTGGAGAATATCAATGCCTGGTAAACGATTTAATGGACGGGATGGGTAGTAAAGTCACAATTATTGTGTCCTCTGCAGATTTTAATTCTACAATGGGTTTGTGATTTGTAAAAATAAACGAAAGAATTATAATTCTTATTTATGTATAATATGTACCATAATTAAAGCGCTATTTTATTACTTCTTCCAGCAGAAATGATTCCCCCACTAGAAGAAGTGCCGTCACTAGAAAATCTTGATCTGAATTTGAACGTGACTGGAAAATGGGCGGTATGCCTTTCAGAAGACAAATCTCGAAAGTACTATCGACTAGTTAACATGCGTTCCAGAAATCCGCTGGAATCTTCAATGAAAACGTTATGCTTTGCAGGAGTGAGTTTTATGTGCACTTGATAAGTAATTCTCTTCTTGGTTTTGTGATCAATCGTTGAATGATACACACGTATTTACATAATATGCAACTAGGATGCAGAATGTTTGGGAAAGCGGGAAGGAAGTTTCAGTCGATGTCATGCGTCCCCTCGGATTTGCAAAGCCGTTGATTTCAAAGAAGGCGGAGGAATTATTTCGTGTTTTCATCGAAATTCTAAAACTGTTAAGGAACCTCATAACTACATTCTGGGGCTGGATGGGAAAACATGTATGTCTTTAAATTATTTTTTTCAAGGGATCTAAGCCTGTTAAATTTAATGACTGAAAAATCCTTCCTTAGTACTAAGCTTAAATTAATGTCTTGACAATAATTTCTGTAAAAAATTCACACCAAGATCTCAATCCAGACACGAGAAGTGTTCCAATTCAAGCGTTAATGGGACTTAAAGCCGTTGGAAATAAAACTAGTACATTTTATACGGATATTGAATACTCCTTTACCTGCACTGCCGTCAGCTACCTATTTGCGCAACCACTTATGATTGATGTGCTACTATCAAACGGAACTAGAATTCCAATAAGCCCAAGAAATCCCCTGGATGCCACGAACACTAAGGAAATCTACGGTTTGTAATTTTAAAGTGTATACGTTTTTTTAAAATCGGTACCACTTGAAAAGAAGTATGTATTTATTCAAATTGTGCACATTTGCTTAGATATTTCCTCAACAAATATTGTTTTCAACAACTATAAAGTCGAGGCAAAATTAACTTTCGAGTCTGCGACTGTAACCAAAGTGGTCTGTTCAGCATTTATTTGGGACTTGGAGGAAACCCTTGATCATATTTTGCTAGTTGATGTTCAAAGTATGTACATTTAAAACTTGAATCCTTAATTTGAATTCTAGCTGAAATGTCAATAATAATACTAATTTATCCATACACGAAGAGAGCTTAAGTCCCAGATTTTCTGAGAACTTTCGGTCAGCAGAATTCATACGGGGACAAACTAATGAACTCGAATGTGACACTGAGGCCCTACCAGAGCCGGCATTTGAATGGGAAAAGGATGGAGTTGTAAGTCAATTAAAATACATAAACCTCAATCAGCCCTATTTTCCATTAGAAATACAATGTATATGAAATATATAATTATCAGAAAATCGAAGGCGAAACGAGCCCGAAGCTGATTATTTCAAACACTTCGGATAAAAACGTTGGGATGTATTCGTGCAGGGCTATAAATGAGTTAGGCCGTGCAGAAAAACTATTTCACGTGAATGTCGTTGGTACGTTAAAATCTCTTAAGGCTCACATGTATGTGGTTTATGAATTTGTATGTTTGTGTCTCAGCTTCCCCTTCTTCTATGTAGGCAAATGGCGATTTTGAAACCTGTCTATTTCTGTGCGTTTTATTTTAAAACTGACGATTTTATTCCAGCTAAAAATCGATATTTGTTAGGTTTACAACATTAGGAGATTGGAATTTTGATGTTTTTCTCCCATTAGCAAAAACTTAGGATTAGTTTTTATCTGTAATTACGTATTTTAATTTTCCATTATCCAGATGAAGAAAAGGTCAAAATTCTAAGCTCTGTAAGCCTAAAAATTATCTACTTTTGGATGCAATAAAAGTGTGATTCTTTCAAAACCTAAGCGAAATTAACTAGTCGTAAAATCGCCATTTGAATACACGCAGGAAGGGAAAGTTAGGACGAAAAATTCAAGCTCAATAACCTCATGCAATGGTACCTTAAGTTTATTTAATGCAATTTCAACAATTTTTCTGTTCAGATGCAGCATCCAACGGCCCAGGATTGCTCGTTACTGTTGGCGTACCAATCGGGATTGTTTTAATTGCAACAATTGTGTGTGGACTTTTGATCAAATACTATCGAAAAACTCGAGTTAGTGGTCTTTTAATTAATAAATCTAATTTTGCTCATATCAGAGTTCACTTATTACAATTAACATAGACTGGTTTAACACAAGCGGAAATCGAAGAATTTTTTAAAGGAATTAAGACAACGGATGTGCAGAAGACGAAGGAAGGGGAGAACGAATACGTATCCGTGATTTCGGGCATGCCTTACACCAAAGAATACGAAGTTAGCGATGGGAAATTTAACATAGGTTAGTACTTACTAATTAATATCTGTGCTCGCACTCTAAATAATTTGATGGTACAATTGTTACCGTGCACTTCAACCGCTTCGGTAATAATTGATCGAATCGAATGGTAACAAACAAATATACAGAGGCTAAATCCTGCTCAGGATCAACGCGCTCGTAATAAAGACATAACCGACACGGTGTCCGGTCAATTTGGTATGGTCAATTTGGTACGGGATTATTTGGTATATGTACAATTTGGTACATGGATAATTTGGTATCGTCAATTTGGTAAATATTTAAAAAATGTGACAATTAGAAAGATAAAATAAAATAGCAGTCAAATAAACTCACGCTGACGCAGATTTTGGATTACACTTGAGATATTGTACATACTTTAAAAATTCTGTGGCCATTGTACATACATATAGTTAAGATTAAATAAGTAAATAAATAGTCATAAGTCCTTTATAACTCGCATTAAAATTAATTTACCTTGTTATAGGCAGTAAATCGACACGAAGCAATGCCACAAGATGTATAAGTGTAATTGATTTGGGTGCTAATTTTGTTTACTTTATTTTATCTTTCTAATTGTCACATTTTTAAACATTTACCAAATTGACCATACCAAATTATCCATGTACCAAATTGTACATATACCAAATAATCCCGTACCAAACTGACCGTACCAAATTGACACCACATCAACCGACACCGGGGTCATTCTTTATACCCTTAGAAGACAACTTGCTACCATATTGTTACCACGAGGTAGAATTGCATAATACCTCCGACGGTAACAATTGCACACGGTCGTTAATTTTGCGACGCGATTGTTAAAGAAAGAAGTACTATACAATTCTACCCCGTTGTACATATGTGACAATCTAGTTGCACCTTGTCTTCTTAGAATAAAAAGTAGCCTCCGAATTCGATATTTTTATTACCCGAGCGTTGACATTGAAGGCGTGACAGGATTTTGGTTCTGTAAATAGGGTACCCTTCTATAGTACAATTCTACTGATACGTCAGAATTGCATAATGCCTACGCCGGTAACGATTGCATTGTGAAATTATTGAAAGTACATATACATACAAGTCTTGCGCCACATAAAATGTGCATATTTGAATTTTGAATAGACGAGACATCCCTGCTCGGAAGTGGGGCGTATGGTTTGGTTTACAAGGGTTCGCTGGACGGTAGAAATATTGCCGTAAAAACCTTGAAGCGCAATGCCGACGTAAATTACCTGAGGTCTTTGTTAACCGAATTGAAAGTCATGATATACCTGAACGAACATCCAAACATCGTAAACCTGGTTGGAGCAAATACCAAACATTTGGACAAAGGTTATCCATTATTCTATGAAACATTCTTTGCAATTTTTGGACACGATTGTAACAGGCAGAGGTAGATATGTACTATGCAATTCTACCATTCGGTAATAATTTATCAAACGGAAAGGTACCTAACATAAATACAGGGACTTGAGAACAAATTCTACTCACAATGCAAGTCTTTCACGGGTACAACTCAGATTTACATGGGGCCAACTTTAGTTTGTTCAATATGTACAAAAAGTAAGCTTACCCGTATTTTTGCATTTTTCCTAATGCCCAAATTTCAGCGCAAGGTGCGAATTTTAATCTATTTTCCAGCCGAAACCTCGGTTTTTAAAAATTCTGTAAATATTTTTTAGCACAAATTAAAAAATTCTTAAACATAAAGACTTGCATTGTCAGTCCCCAGTATCAACCCTTTCGCAAAATCAAAATATTACCGACACCAAGGATATCTTCTTATCCTAAGAAAACAACTTTTCACTATACTCCTACCACGCCGTAGAATTGCCTAGCATCTCCGGCGGTAGTGGCCCTGTTAATAAATTATTGAGAATGATACTAATTTAATTTGAAACACTCCAATTTTCATTTATCTTTTAAGGAATTGTCTACGTACTGGTTGAGCTGTGTCCATTGGGGAATTTGGAAACCCATTTAAAAAACAATCGACAAAACTTTGTTAATGAAATGTGTGATTATTTAAATAACCCTCTAGGAGCCTCGGTCGGGTAGGAATTTAATTTCTTTTAAACGAGACAAAAATATATTTTTCACAATGAAACATATCCAGGTCCTCCTCATCAATTCGTCCTTTAAATACGTCAAATCTACTAAAATGGTCGGTTCAGATTGCATCTGCAATGCAGTATTTGGAAATGAAGCACGTAAGAAAATTATTGCTCATAATTGAAGAACATGATTTAAATAGAGAATTAATTAACGACCCCTTTAACATTATGAATTTTTCCTATAAATTGTGGGAACAAGCTCCTATTAATATTTATCCCAGGTACATAAGTCATATTTTACCCCTTAAATATCAAACAAATCCTCTTAATAAAATGACCAAGGAAACCATAGCGTACATACGTCCAAGTACTCCAAAGCACTGACCATTGATTAAGTCAGTCGTTATTTCTGACACGTCATTTTATTAATTTTTCCGATAGTTAGGAGACAAAAAATAAAAATTACCTTATAGCAAATATCAATTGGAGCTGATTTCCACAAATTATTGGGCAAAAACCGTACCGTATTGGGGGTCGTGAATTACAAGTTTAAATACAAATTTTCCAAGGTGATTCATGGAGATCTCGCAACCCGTAATGTGCTCCTGCAGGACAATGACACCGCAAAACTTTCCGATTTCGGGTTATCCAGAAAATTATATGAGTACTCAGATTACGTGAAGCAATCTAAGGTGAGAGTTGCAATAATTACGCTAGTTAATTAATTAATTGTTAATGATCTTTTAAAATAAGTTTAATCGACATATATAGGAACCCCTACCTTGGCGACACATGAGTTTAGAGTCGCTGAAAGATTTGCACTTCTCGTCCAAATCGGACGTATGGGCATTTGGGGTAATTTGAAATTAAAAAAATTATTGTGTTACTCCACGATTTATGGTAATGGACCTCATGTCGAAAATCGATTTTTTCGAAATCCTTCAAGTATGTGTTAGAGGACCTTAAAATATGCAGAAAAATCATTTTCCCCGAATTTTTGAAGTTTCAATACGGCTGCTAAGAGGGGGTGTGGCTTCCGTTGAGATACCACCTTTACGCAGCCGCTATTTCACGCAGGGACTCAAAATTTCACATGTGGGTACCATGGGCCAATACAATAGCGGGTCTTTTTCTCTTTTTTGAAATTAGGTCACGATGACCGTTTTCAGGTCAAAATTTACCGCATGTCAAATGAGTATGAAAACTTCAGGTCGCACATAACCCCACAAATGGGGTATCATTGGAAAGGTCTCGGCAAGAGGATTAAGAATATATGTATCTACTTTATGGGGTCTGGGACCACTCCCTGGAGTTCCAGAGGCAGAACAATATTTTTGAGTTTTTGCCATCTATTTCTATGTTAGCTCTCCTATCTGCCGCTGTGTTAAAATCTGGGAAATTGAAAATCCTCATTTTTCTGCCAGGGGGTGGTCATACACCCCACAAAGTATATATATTCTGAATCCTCTTGACAAGACCTTTCTAATGATGCCCCATTTACGGGGCTATGTGCGACGATTTACAAAAAATTAGATATTATGCACATTTTGACCTAAAAACGGTCACTATGACCTAATTTCAAAAAAGAGAAAAAGACCCGCAATTGTATTGGCCCATGGTACCCACATATGAAATTTTGAGTCCCTGCGTGAAATAGCGGCTGCGTAAGGTGGTATCTCAACGGAAGCCACACCCCCTCCTATCAGCCCTATTGAAACTTCAAAAATTCGGGGAAACTGATTTTTCTGCATATTTTAACGTCCTCTAACACATACTTGAAGGATTTCAAAAAATTCGATTTTAGACATCAGGTCCATTACCATTTCTCGTGGAGTAACCCTATTGCAACATTTTTTATGTAAAATGAATTATCTATGTATGTAGGTAACCATGTGGGAAATATTTTCCTTGGGCGAAGTGCCTTATCCTGGATTAACTTGGAATGTCGAGTTTGTCAGAGACATTGAGAACGGGTTGCGTATGACAAAAGCAAAATTTTCAAGCATAGATTTGTAAGTTTACTACTAAATACATGTAAGGGAACGTCCATATATTACGTCACGTCATCGATTGAGTTGGTGGGTAGCGTTATCCTGTTCATTTTAAGCCTAGCATGTGTAATCCTAAGATAAAGGAATTGGTGGGCGATTGGTTCTACATGTATGTAAAAATGGGTTTTTATGATGTAATATGTGAACGTTCCTTAACATAGGTATGTTTTGTACTGCGTTATTTTTATGGTATCTACATAATCGTGGATTACTTAAAGATTTGAATTACAATTACGATGTTGGAGAAATGAACCAGAAGAAAGACCATCCTTTGCCGAACTTAAGAAGATATTGGAGGAGCAATTAATTCAAATAAAATCCAAAGAAGGAGGCGAAGGATGTAAGTTTTATTGACAAAACTTAAATGGTTACGTATTTAAAATGTATGTACATATGTATTGCTTCAAATGTATTTATCAGAGTGAAATCCATGAAACAAATAAACTGTTAATAATTGGTGAAGTCAGAGTGTGCAAAAGCACGCAATTTGAAAAAAATATATTTTAAAATGTTTCTAATTTATGTATACGGGAAACATTGTACGTCGGTCGTGGATGACAAATGAGATAGGAGAACATAGAAATTTATTTATTTCCAAGTTTTGTCTTTCTGGTACTTTGATATTGTCAGACAATACAAATAAATTCCAATAAATCTAACATATATAGTAATATTGCATAAAAAATATTATCATAATTTATTGTTTCATTTTTCAAATTAATTTAATAATTCATGAATAGTGTATTTGAATTTTTACAAATTTAAGAAACACGTTTCACACATTTTTGCCCGTCGAATCGATACTCATCTTTCAACCCGTTGATATCCTCGTCACCCGGGCAAGTGTAAAATACCCGAATAAATCTGTCAAGACTGGGATACCATGCGCACTGCACGTAGTCACAGTTTATCCTTGCAATTGGACAAAATCTGGCCTTATCTCCCGCCATAATTTCAAAATATCCCTCACTCCTACAAGGACAGGGGACCTTCGGGGTAAAAATGGCCGCCACCCAGTCCACATAGTACGTCACATTTGTATAAATAGCGGGAACATCAGGCAGGCCGCAGGGTTGCGTAATATCCCCGCCCCAAGAGGTTAATCCGACCAAGGTGCCGCCACTGTAGAGCGGGCCACCAGAATCGCCCGGGCACGTGTCCATCCCGTCAACCCCGCCGGCGCACAAGTTTCCCGGGCCAATCCATCCCTCCCAGGTGACATTGCATGCCGAAATGTCGAACAGCGGGAGGGTAACCTTCCTCAGTATTGGGGACGGCATAGTTCCATCGATCGCGGTCCCGCCAAATCCGGCCGCGACGAGGGGAGAGTTTGGGGGAAGTTGGGATCCCCGAGCGGGAAGAGTGGCCGGGGCGACGAAAGGTGTCACAGTGAGCGGCGGGGATACCTTGATCAAGGCGATGTCGTGGAAGGGCTCGTTGAAAAGTGGGTGTGACACGATTCTCACGGCTTTTCTCACTTGTTCGGTCCCTTCGATAACTCTGACGTCGTGCTCTCCCGCCGTGACGATGTAGACGTCGATAGGGAAAACCATGCAATGGGCCTGATAAATAAATACGTGAGTTGCTTAAAACATGCTTATTAGCTCGCCCTGCGTAGCACGAGAGCTATTGAATTCCTCATGTCCGTCCGTCTGTCTGTTAACGACCTTTTTGCATCAATTGATGCTAATTAAACAGCCCCTTGACCATTATTGGATACGTTAGGCGCACCATTGGTACTAAAAAAACCGAATCAAATTTTTTAACAAGTTAATAGGACCATTGATATCTAACAATCGGGAACACAAAATGATGCGAAATAATTGGAGGCAGGGACGCAAAACGCACCAATAATGCAGAATATCCGGGAGAAATGATCATACAATTTTGACATAAATTTTTCAAAATTATCGTTGATCCTTGGTAGATAATTCTGCACCAGTGATGCACAATTTTTGGACTCTTCTCGATGCATAATAATTACTGATCTATTTTGTTTAATTTTTCTGCACCATTGGTGCAACATTGCATAAAAATTATTGATCCACGTTGTTGGATTTTTCTGCACCATTGGTGCATAATTGCAAAAAATTATGTAACTATTTTGTTGCATTTTTCTGCACCTTTGGGGCAAGTTATAACCAAATCATTATTACAGGGTGAGCTACTTCTAACGTTACTACGGTTTATTTAGTTTATGTAAAATGATAAGTAAAGTTTATCGTTTCTTCCGTGCTTGCAACATTCATTTCCAGATTTGGAAAAAAAACTGCACGAAATGCAATGTGCAAGAAACCGCAAAAATATGCAAGAAACTACAAGAAAGTTCAAGATTAAGAAAAATATACTTATATTTTACACAATCTTGCCATTGTTTCTCGCATGTTTTACTTTCACAAAGTTAAATATGTGTTCCTACCGCAGTCACAATCCATTCTGTCGAGACGATGACACCCCCACATATGTAGGGGCCGAATTCAACTGTAGCGAAAGAAGGAAATTCGCCCGGCGTTGCTTCCACGCCTCCAACGATTCTTCCATCAGGCCGGCCCTGGATATATTGAAAGGCTGGAAAAGTGTGAAATTGAAAAAATTAAACAATTCCAATTGGAAAATAATATCCAAAAATTTAATAAAAAATGACCAAAAATTATTGACTCTGTATTTGAACCAGGCGTGAATAGGTTAATAAAACATGAATATCATAATCTTAACAAAATTACGTACCGATTAAAGTTAGCTGAAAAGAAATAAAAAACGCATCGAAAATCAGCCCCATTTCTGCCAAATATATTACAAATTTGTTCAGATTGAACTTGTAAAATGAGGCTAGTCAGGCAGCGTCAGCCTTATTTATTTAAATTAATGAATTTCCTGATCTGATATGAATGATAAGTCGAGGTTTGTACATAACTATGCAATAAGGAAATATGCTTGTATTGATGTGTGTATGCACGAATCCGAGAGTTTTATTAGGCACCAGAAGATTTAATCCGACAATAAATGTAAATTTTAAGGCGGAATTGTAATTCAATACGAATGCTAAAATACCGTGTAAACAATGCCAAGAATTCTGCGTATTCAGATTGCGTAAACATACGTAATGTGTTGACTCTGCATCATTTACATATTTTGTGGGCCACCGTTTGTCTATTGCATACACTGGTCACCTCTTTATGGGTACAATCAAATTGTGCAAATTGATAAGGGTCCGGAGATATAAGGCAAATTTGCATACGTACTCTCGTTCCGAACTTTTAGAGAAATTGAGATTTCTGAGAAAATACGCTACTGCCAGTCTCAAAGTTCCCCGTCCATATAACTTGAGGGAATTTGAGACTGACAGTGGCCTAGTTGCGATTGCGAAGCAATCTTAATTTCAGTAAAAGCAAAAACTTGCGTGGAATAAGAGCATTTATATCCCACTCGTACTTCAAGGGTTCAATGTTTTAGGTACCATTAGTAAAATATTACACGTGCATACAATAATTTTAAATTGTAATTATTAGAAGGTTATTTATATAAGGTAACATTTTCTAGTCATATCGAATAAGAAACAAATCATTTTTAATTTCAAAACCAATTGAAACTATGCAATTTACTCGTATTCTAATTGTTTTCAAATTGCTTTTCAATTCCTTTCCAGCGTGTAGAGGCAACAAATAAGAATAACAAAAATAAGAAAGAAACCACAAACATCAATAACAAGGGTAAAAAGGGGGAAAAACGTCGATAAATTTCAGATTAGAAATTATGAACATACTTTAATTTTAAGCTCCAATTCGACTAACGTACATATATGTGACAGAACGCGATATTGTAAAAAAAGGTTTTAAAAGTTTCCAAATTCATCACTCGTAGTATTCTTATTGATTACCAACCGGAATTCAAATATGACTTCACCGGAACCGTAATAACCGGCATAACCATACAGTAATGAAATATGTGGTTACTAAAATTCACTATTCAGGGACGAATTATTTCCCATCCGTTTAGAAGTTATTGGAAAATTTAGGAGTGGACATATTATTTCACCACATTTTAAAGAGTGGTCTTATTTCGGAAGACTTTAATATTGAGAAATCGTGCCGTAAAACTTTCAAATTGTGTTAACACACTCGTAGTAAACTGCTATTAAATCATTTCCAACCGGAGTACATGTGTATGTACATATGTGACACTACCGGAACTGGTATTAACGGGAATAACCGTTCAGTAATGTTGTGAAAAATTTACCACTCAGGAACAATTTATTTACTACCAATCCGGTAGGAAATTATTACCAAATCAATCCCAACACATAGTATGTATGTGACTCTACCAGATTTTTAACCGTATACATTTATACCTCTAACACAAAATGTCACGTGAACCTCCCTTTTCCGCCGTGGATTTCCACTCGACCATATTCTTCACGCTTTTTAAAGCACCGTTTGATTGGGACTCGAAAAAAAGAAGGGTGATTTTAGTCCCCTCACTCTGGGCCACGCCCCTCTGGGCGATTAGTGTTATTTTGTTTGAAATTATTTTAGGCCAATTGTCCTGCCATTACATCATTGTTTGTCACCTTTTATGGCCACAGGCTTCAACATTGTCCTCATTTCAAGTCATCTTTCAAGGAATCCTTCTCATATTTAGTTCCGCACAGGGCGTGATCTTCTACGTGTTTTGGATTTACTGGGATGATTGGAAGTTCGGAATTGGACAACATATGTGGCTTTTAGAACGGCTGGATAAAAGTAAGTAAAAATCATTGGATTCTGATTTATGCAAATTTATGTACGAGCGAGATTTCATATTACAAGTACTTACTATATTATTGATCATTTATTAATCACAGAATATCCTCAGATGCCCAAGAAATCTGACAGTTATGCCACCATAACATTAATCTTTCAGCTGACGGATATCATTATCATTCCTACAATTCTACTCTGCACGCCAGTCGGCATCCTTCTCAAACTGGACCCAATCCATCACATCTTCATGGATTTCTTTCCACACTATGCAGATTCATTTGGTCTGCAAATCTGGATCGCTATAACGTGTCGAATTCCACTTTGCACCATTCTTGCGCTGGATGTCGCACGGTGCTGGATTTCCATCGCAATGTTCTTTATTGTTGGGTGTAAAGTATGGTTGCGCTATTTCTTCTTGGTCGAACAACCCTACCGAAATGAGCGATGTTTTTCAGTATCCCTGCATACCAAATTGAGTAACTCGATTGCCACCTACCGAGAAATATTGGTACTACAAAAGATTTATCACTACCCGCTCATGACGATGCCTACCTTGCTGACGTTATTTGTCTCGTTGGCCGTCATATTGGCGAACTATTTCGCGATCAGGATGCACCACGTGATACCAAGCGTTATCTTATATTTTGGCATTCCTCCCATTCTGGTTGCTGCTTTATGGGTTCCATATCACGTTTTACCGGATTGCGGGGATTTTAATTCGGTTTCGGTTGAACTTTTGAGGAAGTGGAAGCTTAGAGGGGGATGGGTTTGGGGTAATGTGAGAAGAAAAGAGATACAGAGGAGGTTGAGATCGTTGCCGCCGAGTAATTTTAAGTTCGGCGTTGGGGACTTTGCCTTTCTTAATATGACGAGGGGAACGAAAGGGATGTATCACAAGGTTATTATCGATTATACGATTAGTGTATTATTGTTTAAGTGGAAAGTGTAAATGTTTTATGTGCGTTAATTCTTGAAGTCTGATTGTAAATGTGATGTAACCTATGTACATAGTTAGCTAATTTACATGCTGGTTAGTCTCAAGATTCGATTGTTCCAGGCGAAGGTACCACTATATTCTTGTTTTATTTGCTATAAAATCTCGCGGTAAAAAGGTTTCCACCTGGTCCACACAGTTTGCACCCACTTCCATTGAAAGCTTATGGCAACTTAAAACTTTAGGCATAGGTTTTTGAATGGAAGTGGGTGCGAACTGTGTAGACCAGGTGGAAACCATTCTACCGCGAGATTTTATAGCAAATAAAGCTAGAATAGGTATAAACTTTCCAAAAAAAGTGTAAATTTCCATTATTTTTTGCACATAATAATTTTTGATTCATAACATGTAAATCTTTAGGGTTCACTTTGGAATAAATTTAATGATGTGCTAGGATCTAAAATAATAGCTCAACTTAATTGTGTATTTCAATTTATTTATTTAGTTTTATTACTTTCAATTTTGTCAATTGATTGAGAGTGTGCATTTGGTATGTAATGCATAAAAATCAGTTATCTACATAGTAGCAAATATCGATAGGTGCAGGTCAACACAATTTAGGGATGAAAATCCATCTTTTAAAGAGGTCGTTAAATTCAACCCGCCAAATCAATCAGACATTATTCAATGTGACCATCGTTCTGAACGTGCCTCTAATAATAGTCTTTCCGAATTTTAATATGCTCAATCGTTTAATCACGTGGTATCCTGGATGCCCAAAATACAACGGCGTGACACTTTTTCTCCACTTTCGGAAATATTTATCCTCCCCTTCAATTCTCCATGATTCCCTAATCTTTACAGATTGAGAATGAAATTTACCACACGTTTGCAGCACAACGGCCCAAAATGAAACGAGACCAATTCCCCCGCAACAATACGTAGCGAAAGAATCCAAGCGCGTCCCAATGTGCGAGTAGCATCCAGTTGCAGAAAAGTGAAAACTTCACGACAAGAGTTTGAAATGGTATAAATAATGGGGAAAAGAGGGACATTACACGGCGATGTATTAATTCCAGGCATCGATATTCCAGCGGAAGTATGGCTGTTGATCGGAATGAAGCATATGTAATGTACTTTCCAGTCTTGCGATTCAGGTTAAATTCTGCATGGAAGGGAATCAAGAAGGCTGAAAGAAATAGAAAATCACAAAAAAACTTTAAAAAAGGTTGGTTGTTTTTGTTTCACAGTATAATGATGATTTCCGATTAACTATCGTCTACTCAAAAAATAAAGACAACAGAATCTGAGAGATTATGTATCCAGATTTATATTTGCAGTGTATTTATTTATGTGGTACACAAAATTAATCTAGAAAAATTTAAAGAGTGTTGTCTCTATTTTTTTAAAAAGGTAGTTTTTAAAAAGTCTCACACACGCTAAAAACTCCCGTCGGTATTTCAGTACGGACGTATCAAAAATTGACCCCAGAGGCATCCCCACTTAACCAAAGTATAATTGCACTTGCACGAAGTGGGATTGTACTTCGATTAAGTGCGGAAGGCTGTGGGGTCAATTTTGGATACGTCCGTACTGAAATACCGAGGGGAGATTTTAGCGTGCATAACACTCACCAATATACGACCCTAAAATCCCCACCGCCGTTCCCACCCCAATGGCCGAAATAATCATCTCATGCGCATAAAATCCTAAATGCGCACAGAACAAGGGTCGACTCCTCAATTGAATAGGAATCAGCGAAAGCCAATGAAGCGGTAATATGTCAAAGAAGTAAATTGCGACACTTCCAGAAAACGAGTACCCTGCCGAGAGCACCATCACGAATTTGAAAAACAATCCAAGCTTTTTCCCCGTGGTGTGAGATGAGACGAGCTCCTCCTCATTAAGCGATACCCATCTTCCTCTAATGTGAAAAATGTAGTGTAACGTTTGGTTTAAACAGTCGACCAACTCTTTACCATTCATGGTAACAACTCCCAAGCAAAATAGAGGAACGACCAGGGCCAACAGAATGATGTAAGAAATGTTAAAATTAACCAGGTCGCGATCGGTTTTATCTGAGAGGTTGCCAAATCTGAGTAGGCGAAATGTTCCAAAAATAATTTGGACGAGGATTAAGATCATGGTAAATCGGGAGCTTAATCGGGACCAGGGTGTTG